TAGTGGTAAGTTAGATTTAGTATATTGACTTTATGTAAATGTATTATTGTTGTAATTATTTTGTTGTATTCTTTTTACTACACTTATTGTGCCCGTGTTGTCATTTGTAATCTGTTCCTATTTTTTAATATTTTGCCATCGATACAATTTCATTTATCATAAATACATTAACCATTCCTTTGGCGTAAAAATTCAATAGTATAAAATATTGTCAATGTATCTTAAAGATAAAAAATACGGTGTGTATAAATCAAATTGACAGGTGTTTACAAAAGAACTTAGCGGAGATAGTTTGACAGACAGGGTACTTTTCTCCGAAGAAGGTATTCTTGATGTTACCGCAATAACTTTGACTCTGACTGATGTTCCAGCAGAGGACATACAAGTGACGATTGAATTTGTTGGTTGTATTGAAAAAGGCAAGTATATTTATATATATTTATGCTAACACAATGTTTCATTTACATCTTGTAGTCCTTTTTTCCATTAAGAAGACAATTTTAAGTTTATTTTTTTCATAAGTTAAGTGATGCATATTAAGAGACATAAATAAATAGAGTGTTTAGAATAATGTAATCCATAATAAGTGAAGGCTTGGAAAATGGGATGTGCATATTAAAGAGTTAAATTTTAATAAGTAGATGCAACGGACTAGACAAAATCCGATAATGCAATAATGGCTGTAATGCTGGGATGCCCACGTAAAAACTGACTGGAATTATTGTGATTGATGATATTTATATAGTTTATACTACAACGGAGATGCCGACAACCACAACAATGCTGCCAACTACAACAACAATGGTGCCAACAACTACAACGGAGATGCCAACAACCACAACAATGTTACCAACAACCACAACAGAGATGCCAACAACTACAACAGAGATGCCAACAACCACAACAATGTGGCCAACTACAACAACAATGTTGCCAACAACCACAACAGAGATGCCAACAACTACAACAGAGATGCCAACAACCACAACATTTTTGCCGCCAACCACAACTGAGATGCCAACAACTACAACAATGTTGCCAACGACCACAACAGAGATGCCAACA